AGGGCATTTTGAAAGTGATTGCTTTTGCTAGTAGAGCACTAACAGTAGTTGAACAGCGGTACTGTCAGACAGAACGAGAAGCGTTGGCATGTGTGTGGGCATGCGAGAAATTTCATTTATATTTAGTTGGTTGTCAGTTTACCTTGTATACAGATCATCAAGCGTTAGAAATCCTTTACTCAGCAAAGGCCAAACAATCTGCTCGAATATAGAGATGGGCATTGCGCCTCCAGCAGTATAACTACACGGTCAAGTATCGTCCAGGCACAGGGAATCCGGCAGATTTCCTTTCGCGGGCACCAATTAACGAGCCCTCGGGACAGTCTATTGCCGAAGAATATATTAACTTTATAACAGAGCAAGCCATTCCCAGAACAATTACCTTGTCAGAGGTGCAAGAAGTGACAAAGAACGATAAAGAACTGCAGTCAATTGGACGAGCACTTCAGTTTGGCAACTGGAAAGACAAATCCATATCAGCTTATTTTGCATTACGGCATGAAATAACATTAGTAAGGGGTGTACTGTTGAGAGGACACCGACTGATTATACCAATATCACTTCGAAATAGAACTCTATCCCTGGCACACAGGGGACACTTGGGAATTGTCAAGACCGAACAAAATTTGAGAACCAAGGTATGGTGGCCTAGATTAGATAAAGAAGCAGAGCAACATGTAAAGGAGTGTTTGACGTGCCAAATATCTGGTAATCCTGAACCCCCTCCACCTCTAGCAGTTGTCCCACCTCCAATGGCACCATGGTCATGTATTCATGTTGATTTCTATGGACCAGCACCTACAGGAGAGCATCAATTTGTGATGTTAGATGAAACAACCGGATTCCCAGAAGTTGAGATAATGAATAAAACCACAGCTTTTCATACAATACGAGCGTTTGAAAAAGTGTTTGCCCGACACGGACTGCCAGACACAATTAAGAGCGATAATGGGTCGCCGTTCGCAGGAAATTAAGGACTATCTGACAACACAAGGCATCCACCATCACCGTGTAACACCTTTATGGCCCCAGGCCAATGGAAAAGTGGAAGGCTTCATGAAACCTATGGGTAAAGCTATTCAAGCGGCTTGGGCAGAGGGTCGAGATTGGCAAAGAGAACTATTCGCATTTTTGATGAATTATCGTACTACGCCCCACCTATCTACAGGTGTGGCGCCAGCCGAGATGCTTTACAAACGAGTAATTCGATCTACCGTTCCGTCTTTCTCTCAGGCACCTGCCAATACAGCTGCAAAAAGGGTTTTGAAAGGAAAGGCTAAGTCAAAACAATATGTAGATGCCAGAAGACGTACACGAAAGTCATCGATAAAGGAAGGAGATACAGTGTTGGTGAAACAGAAAAAGAAGAACAAGTATACAACCATGTTTCGTCCTCAACCATACAAAGTTATCAATGTGCGATATTCCAGAGTAACTGCGCAAAGGAGTGATCATGTGATTACAAGAAACGTTTCGCATTTTAAGAAATTTAGTGGAGCGTATAGAGAAACTGTTCCAAATCCTGAGTCAGAAGATGATATTACCATTGCGGCCCCACAAGCAGGACAGGACAATGATCAAGACATAATTGAAGATAGGTATCCTTTAAGAGCAAACAGAGGCGTACCGCCAGATTTTTATGGACGGTAAATAACTCTGATAGTTATTTGTATACTTAGTTGTGTTATCAATTGTAGCAGGGACTACAGGTTTTAGTTCACATTACCAGATTCACTTAGAACTATTTGTTGTGAGAGAAAGAGGGAGATGTTATGTTGGTGTTACATGAAGTATAGAACGTTGCATCAGGGGGTCGGGGGATTTTAGAAGAGAGCACATGTGTGTAGGTTTTATGTTTTAGGTACGTTGAAATAAATAACGATTTTGAAGATATAGCACTTCATTCCTCATATTCTCTTCAGAAAAACTCCCATGCATGATCCATCCAATCATGCTGGTCTCCCCCCCCCCCCCCCCCCCCATCGTCCAAATCCCTACATTTTGTATTTCAGCTTCCTTGGCATTTCCATACTCCTGTCCTTATATTCCTGATCTTTTGGTATTTTGAAATATACAGTAATATTTGCCATCAAATTGCTCTGACTCCAGGGAAAATATGGCCCGCAAAATTCGGTCTTAAACGTGATCACATTTTGTAATTCTAGGTAAAATATGCCCAAAATAACGGAGTGTCAGCAGATGATTCGTCATTCTTGATCGGCATTATGTCCTTGGGCTCAACATTTGGCAGATTATTCTTTGGCCCGCTTTCTGATCATCCTAAAGTGAACAGATTGTATGTATATCAACTTTCAATTCTCTGCATGGGTATTAGCAACACTCTATTGCCGTTGATGAAAACACATGGCACTATCGTGTGTTATTGCTTGGTATGGGGTACATTTGAAGGGTGTTATGTCGCGTTATGTGCTGTATTAACTGCTGATATTGTTGGACGAGACAAGCTATCATCTGGAGTGGGCGTGTTGTTTGGACTCAAATCTGTTCCATTAACAGGAGGACCAGCGCTAGCAGGTGACTGACATAACTTCCATTTCTTGGAAGGGGGTTCGACTCCATCGACAGAAATCATCACAACCACTTTTATACTAATTCCAACACTTCAGGAAACAAGGTTGCGCCGAGAAGAATTCGAACTCACATCTTCCTGCTTCTAAGCCACCGCTGTACGTATCTATGCATAAAACCCGAAGTTGCGAGTTCGAATTTTTCGTTGTATGAGAAATAATATGAATATAGTTGTCCATATATCCCGTTTAGGCAAGTTTAATACTTGCTTCTGACCAACATATTTTCACAATTACAGGCCTGGGTAATTTAATAAACCTAAAAATTTAAAAATGATGTTTCCTTTGTTGAAACAAATTGAAATTTCTTTTCGGAAGCAAAAATTGTTTTGTAGTTTGCCCAATATATTAAAATGTAGTATGCATATTTTACAGGTTTTATCTACGATGTATCGAAATCGTACGACGTGGCATTTTACATAGCTGGAGCAGTGTGTACAGTATGTTGTTGCATCATGTTTCTGATTCCACTTTACATGCCTGAAGCTGGAGAAGAGGTAGTCGATTTTGTGAAACCCGATGACATTGAGAAGAAGGCATTGGAAGGAAATGGCTCCGTCCACAATGGAAAGTTAGGGAATGGACGAAGTGATGATTCTGCTTATGTTAGTGGCCAACATTCAGCCATTGTTCTTCGCCCTAGACCTCAAAGTTCTTACCTCTCACCTTACAGAGATCAAAATTTGGTCGTGAGTCCGTCAACGCTATCAATCCGTCATTCGTTAAGTCGGTCAACAGCATCTCTAGCCCATAGATATCTTGAACCAATTGCAAAGAAAGCCAAGAGTTCAGAATTTGGTAGTATGGTATCAATACCAATAATCCCGAACTCAGGAGCTTATCGGTCTTTACAGCAGATTCCTGTCACTACAGCGAGTATTGATCTACATCATACAAACCACGACACAAGTACATCCAGCGTGAATAATGCACCACAAGAACACAGGGTGCCACCAATGGAGATACCAAGCATTGTCATTGGCGATGATTTGCAAGATGAGAATTTCCATAGCTCCACCGAAAATATCAATGAAAACGTTAATTTAATATCTAAATTGCCAGGCAAAGAGACCGATCTTTAGTCAATCAAACATACACAGACAGTGAGCTAGTTGAAGCGACGATCCACTTGTTTGCCACTTGTTTCTGTGTTATTCCAACAATCGAACACAGTGTACGACTCTATGTTTTTGGGAACATTAAGAACTAAATAAATATTTAGACACAATCGTTGCAATAAAATTTAGCTGGATGACAAACGTTAAAAATAAAACTAACAGCGATAATAACATTTGAATTCTGGGGCTGGGCGTACGACGGACGTCATTTAGCTGAAACAGTGCATAACACTTCCACCTATTTTCAGTGTTAGTGAATTTTATGAAACATTTTAGCTCAGCTCAAATGTTCTATTTGGCCAATTCCACTGGATATAAAGCCAAATGCCCTCCCTATAACATGCCCTATGGTACATAGACTCATAGTATATTTAATTGTCTAATGTCATTCAGTCGGTAGCTGGCCAAACTAGCTGATCTCAAAATTAGGACCAGATAGTGCATCTGCTGTGCATAACGGAAGCCAATGGAAGTCATGTTGCACCGTAAATTAGATACTATCGTGTTCGCATACCGGGTGTTCCAAAAAATGCCTCATATTTTGTAGTATTTCTTTAAAAATTTGTGAAGGTATTAAAGTTAGTTTTATAAAAATTTCAGGTTTTATACTAGATGCATGGGATAACTCATCTTCATGTCAATCACCTTGATATTTGAGTGGTTAAAATAATCAACCGCGTTTACATTCTACAATCACTTAAGGTGGCGACATCAATTTTCCAACTTGTCTATATAAACTGTTCTAAATTAAGGAAGTTAATAATTATGTTAAAAGTATTTCAATACATTCGTAGACTGGATTTAACCTATAAGGCTATATAACTTCTCTAAAACTTGATTTGTCATCCCTATCATTAAAATTATTTATGTTAACTTCGCGGTGTTTTGTTTATGGCATATACCCTAGCAGGGAGGACAAATGTATAAAATGTGTTGTTTTTACATCTATTTTGTCCTAAAACAACAAATTCAGGGCATTTTCTTCGTCCAGCTTCCTGCTTCATTTCAGCGGTTGAACACAAATCATCACAATCAGTTGATCACTATCAGCATCAGATAACTGAGATAAGTGAAATCTTCAAATACCTCTTCAAGACTGGAGAGAAACTTCAGTCATTAATAATTTATAGATTTTATTTACATGTTTCGTTGTTTATTTCGATATATTTCATTTTGTTTAATAAAGCATGCGACCAACTTGAATTACTTGATGTCATATATATTGACGTCATTTGCATATAATGAGATTGATAATAATTGTAACGAAATTATTGAAGGATCAGAATCTTTATCAGAATGATTAATGCTGTACGATAAATATATACACGCTGCTTGTTCCAAGTGATTTCACTAAAACAAGCAAATAAATAAAATGTTCACTGATGCCCCATCATTCATCGCCAAGTTAGTTGCTTCGCTTTTTAAAGAAAATGAAATATCTGGACAGCGAAACATGGAAATACAAACGTATATAAAACAATTTACTCTACAGTTTTAAGACTCAGGTTTAAGAGTTCCTTCGTGTATGATAATAAACCGTTTCGTGTCATATGCACTTAAAGTATTGTCAAAAAGCCTTAAAGTATATATTGCAATACTTTAACCCTGATTTCCATAATTTTAACAAGTTGGAAAACTGTCGTCATGCACCTTAGGGACCGGTCATTATTTATGGTGAGGGGGTGGCACCGAAGAGAAATGTTTTTCGTGGCAAAAATTTTGCTGGCCCAACCATTAAAAAATCAAAAAATTGATTACCAACCTCAAGTATCATTTAAAAAATAAATACCCACCCCTGGCCAAAAACGTTACAAAAAGATGTCATTCAGTTGTCACACATGACACAAGTCCTTTACCACTTCTGTGATACGTTTGATACAGGCCTTAAAATATCGGTCGGTCACGGACATTGTCCGACCCATTCGTGAAATTGTCCGACGTAGAAAGGAAACCACCGGACATTCTGTCCGACCAAAGTGAAACTGAGGTTTATTGTTTGTCCGACCCGAGTGTATTGGTGTCCGACCGAACTGTAGCTTTGTCCGACGTAAATCAAAATGTACCCTAGCCCAGGACTAGAGGCTTGTATGTTAAATGGAAAATCAGAGTACTTTTGTATAAAAGGTCAACTGGAAATGTTGTTTTAACGTAGTCGAGCGCGGAGCGGCGAGCGAAATGGCGATGTGCTTAAGTTGTCGAAGTCTTTTTTAATACTGCTGTTCTGGAAAGCAAGTTAATTTTGGCTTGGAAATAAGTATGAAAGGAACAAAATATTTAATATCTTTACAACATTTACCGTTTATTCATTTGTGTCATTCAGACTTATTTCCGAGTCAAAACTGAACTGAAGGTCATCGGACATATGTCCGACCCAAATTCAACGTCACCGGACATTTTGCCAGACGGCCCTGTAAAAGATATTTTAAGGCCTGTAAACGTTCGGCTTGTGAATGTTTGATAGTTTGACAACGTTCGGCTTGTGAAATTTACTGACTTTTCTGCAGTCTAAAGTTTCATGTTGTCTGTACATTTACTTTCTTTGGAGACACCATTTGTCTCCCAACGAATCGGAAAATGATGAAGATATAGATTGATTCACATATTGTATTGACATATGACTGTTGACATTGAAGTTTTCAGTCTTCAATATTTGAGTGAGTCATGCTTTGGAAATGACAATAAATTTTTATTACCCAACCTTTGAGTTGTTTCGTTTTTCATTTACCCAACCCTTTACTTACTCAAAATTTTGTTTACCCAACCCCTTTCTCTTCGGTGCCACCCCCCGCCATAAATAATGACCGGTCCCTTATGCGATTCTAAAAGGCAAACGGTTGATTATTTTGATTTGTAAAATATTAATAGAATTGACATGACAATTATTCTATCCAGTACAAAAATCTGAATCTTCTATTAAAGCTAACGAAGTAATACTAATACAGGTAGCTCTTTCCAATATGCATGGTCACCTCAAGTCACATTATCCATGCAGTTAAATTAAACTGATTCCAGAATCCAGAGCCAATAAAATGCTCTATCCCACTCCTAGTGTCGAGGTCAGTGTAGGTCGTACGTTCGAACTACGTGTTCACATCTTTCGTACTTCATCATAAAACTAATTTAACGCAAGTGTTCGTTTCGATTCAGTTTTGCACATGCACCTATGGTCTCAAAACGCGGCCTATTGACATAATTGATTCATAAAGAAAGCAGAGTAGTGAGGTGCCGGATTAAGAGGCAGGGAAAATTTCCTTGTTCAGGTTTAATAAGTTGATGATGTTGTTTATATTTTAAGGCCATGAATATTGAATAGCATGGCGGCAATGCTGCTGACAAAAACTTTGTGTCGTTGATATTAAAGTTCTAGTTTACGACTCTGGTTTGTTGGTTTTTTTTTGTGTTGATAAAGCAAATATATGTAATTAAGGGTGGGTAGTAGCGAAGTAGTTGTATAGTTCGCTACTGTAGCGAACGTCTACAATTTTCAAGTACCCAGTAGTTTTTGACTACTTTTTTAAAACTGTAGCTGTAGTTATAGCGAACTACATTTTGCCAAAAGTAGCCAAGTACAGGTAGTTGACTACTTTTCAAACAGCGAATCGCTATTCGCTACTTTTTAAAATTGTTAGCAACTTGATAGAATAGCATGATATTGAGACACGGTTTGCTTAAAATCAATCCTCAATAGTCAATTTGCACTCCTGAACACCGTAGTGCTTATAAAAATGTTGTTTTGTGTTTACTATTGCTACTCGTAAGTCGATTTGTTATAGGTTACATTACAGCCTGAGTTAGTAGGTGCTCCAAATACAGTAAAACTAAAAAATATAGCGTAGCGAAATAGCGAAATAGTTCGCTACATTTTTTAAGCAGTAGCTGCATGTAGTCAGTAGCGATCTACCTTTGTTCAAAAATAGCAGAAGTTGTAGCTGACTACATATTTTTGAAGTAGCTGTAGTTATAGCGAACTACAAAAATTTTGTAGTCAACCCACCCTTGTATGTAATTCGGGATCGTACCCTGGGCACAAATTCCACGATGCGCAAGAAGTCATGTATCCCCGACAGCACTTGCATCAGTATTCTAGCTTATATATAGGTCGTACAATGGAATTATATGGCGTTTCTCTAACTTGCTTGGGGCAGTTCCACAGATATAATTACGTGCCACAACTATAACTGAATAATCTAAACCCAACCTTTAATCTGTACATAAAATATTATTTTTCTCTACTCGTATTATCAACAATATAAATCACACCCATGGAACCGCATACAACTTCAAAATTACAAAAAAACTATAACATGTGTATCTCGCTTCCGTTTTCCTAGAATAATATATAGTCCCAATTCCTCACTTCCAGTCACGGAATTTGCATTAAATAGTTTTATGAACAGCTGTTCGAGACTGCGCGCAGTCTACAGGGTGTATCAACAAAAGCGCAATCCTCGACTGAAATGTAAATTGCTAAACAAATAATAGACGAAAACGTTAAAGTTTACATTCATTTTAAAGCGTAGCCATTCAGCTTTCTAACAGTGGGTTGTTTCTTAAATTTGACTCATTGGTTCGCGGGTAATAATACTTTACGTTATTGCGATTGGAGATTAAAAAAATTGAGATGGAATAACAAATCATGAAAATAACTGATTTTTTTCATTAAAACAAAAAAATGTTGCGTTTTATTAAATGGATTGTAACAATAAGTATAATTACGGCTTTTCTTCCACTATTTTTAACTCAGTTTGAAATTAACTTCAAATGCGATATAATTTTGGCTTGGACCATCTAAGCTGACTGACATCAACTTGCTATAATTTCTGTTTACATTACATCGCAATTCGATGACACTCTGGCTCAGACACCAAAATGTTTTGACGATTTTTAGCATTCGTTTAGGATTTTCAAACAACCTGGTCTCTTTTAAAATACTTTTAATTTGTTTTTACGTGGTTTTCCAGATGTAGTGACGACAACATTAAAGTTTAAAGAAGAAAATTCTAACATTTAAACCGACTAAACAATAACATAGTAAACTTGCATAATTAAACAGCAACTAAAAATGATAGGTTTTACTAAATCTTTTCCTGTGCAATTATTACTAGCATTGGAGACAAGGATAATAGTTTGTTTGAAATAGAAAAGAACAGGCTTTGAAGTAAGCCTAAAAGCGTTTAACTAGAAATAGTATTTCGAAAGTTATTAAGCACAAAAGATGAATTGCATTTATTTTGATACACCCTGTAGTTCAATATTCCTGTGGGAGCAGGGCCGTAAGGTGGGTTTTGGGGGGGGGGCACCCCCAATATTGTAATATTGCAGTTTCGTCGGGCAATTTCAACAATTTTAACGACACGCTCGTCGGGCAAAAAATTAAATATGTAATTGAGCAAAAATTTTACATAATTCTAGTATTGAAAAGTAATAGTTGGGGGGAATTTTGATAAATTTACAAAAATATTACTGAAAAATTGTATAAATTACGGTGCATTAGTTCAAAAGTTAGTGAAAAATAGTATGTCCGAAAATTGTTTCCTTCTCCCCCCTCCCTCAATTAACCCCCGCCCCCTCGCCAACGATTTTTGGAAAAGAAATATTAATTAGCGACTGAAATGTCCGTCGGGTACAACCTCGGCCACGCCCTTTTAGTCGGGCAAAACAAGCTCACACACCCCCTTGGGTGGTCACAATATATGATGATATACTATGTAATATGTCTAGTGAAAGGTAACCGGAAATTGTGGTGTTATATACATAACGCCAGGCACCATGCGTAAGAAGACACAGAGAACAAAGATTATTATTGATGATGCAACTGTATAATATTCATATCACTTGAACGTTCAACGCATTCGATCGCATACCGGGTTTCCAGCGATATTCAATTAATTTTTATCAAATATACCAGGAATTGCGTTGATATATCTTGGAACAATTGTAAGGTACGACTATTAAGTTTGTATAATACCACAAATATCTTTATTGAACTAGGAATTGTTTACACTAGCTTTTTTCAAGCATGCAGTTCGTATAACTGTCTATATCGTCTAATTTCTCTTTCGACACACTTAATAAAATCTAATTTCTAATTGTAAAAATTGTTAACATTTAATTAAAAACTAAAAGTCTCAAAGAATGACATATTAAAAATATATATTTCGCTGACTCTCAGGCAATCTCGGGCTTTCTCAGCCTCTTCGATTCAGTTTGACGCCATATTGAAAAATAAGTTAGTACTGATAGTAGTATGGCGTCAAACTGAAGAGGCTGAGAATCAGCGAAATGTATTTTTTAATTTGCCACATTTTGGGTCTTTTAGTTTTTTATTAGATTTTAACAATTTTTACAATTAGAAATTAGGTTTTATTAAGTGTGTCGAGAAATTTAAAATTAGACGACATGTCATATATACCAGCTGCTTGAAATGATCGAACTCTCTCCTTGCTTCGTCTTCGGCACTAGATTTGTTGAGAAAAGTTTACACTTTACACCAATATATAGTTGTATGAGCTGACAGGCGTCTTGTTCATATTGGCAGCTCCAATTTGAATTTCTTCTTGGATCAGCGTGGATCCATTACATTAATTACTTCAGGAGTAAACCGGCTCGATTATTACTCTTTATTACTAGACAATTTGGCGTAGTATATTATGCAATGCAAATTATTTGTTGTCCCTCTCATTTTTCTGAGTTAGGCAGATGTTTGAGCTTCCTCGTTGGAAATCATCTTTTCATACGAAAGTAAAAATGACGTCATTTTGAAAGGACTTTGCGAAAGTCTAGTTAGCATACATGTTATTTACCGGCTAGGAATTCAAGTCTGGATAATAATGTTTTTTAGGTCTCAAAACGTAGAATACAACCTTTTGATAATCACGTCACGAGTACTTTCTTCACTGTGAGCCTCGCTCTTTACTTTTGACTCATCTTCGAAGGCCATCCGCTCAGCGACGAAGTTCCTTAAAGTGGGGTATACATAAAGTGCGAGCCAGCGAGCCATGCCGATGTTGCGAGCCACCACAGATCGGTGCGAGCCACGCGATGTGTGCGAGCCATGTGCAATAAATAAATATAAGAAATTGGTCTTGACCAAATGGTACTGAGTACATCTTATCTCCAGGACACAATAAGCAACTTGCGTGTTAGACTAATCAGTTTTGATCTACAATTCTAGACAAATAACATGCGGACGCTGATTAAAAATGGCTGGAATTTAAAGCAATCAATTAATTATACGCATATTCAGCCGTATTCCCCGCTCCCCGTCACAAATAATTACACGACTAGTCAGTCGTATTCCCCGCTCCCCCGTTACAATGTTGTTGCTACAGATACCGCAATACGGCAATAGTTGCCATAATGACTGAAGTGATCAACATTGTTTCAGGGGAGGGGGGACCGACCTTACGAAGTATATATGAAAATGTTTAAAAAAATAATTTATTTGCCATGTTTGTCCGAGTAAATTTGTCTATGATTGTAAGTAAAAAAGTAACTTCCCGTAAAGAACTTGTTAAAACTGGTGAAAATGCAAAGTTTGGTTAGTGCGAATTGTTGTAGAATACGGAAGGTGTAGCCTTGCGGGGTTTGCATGCATGATTGTTTTGTATATGTTACAATATTGTATTTGCCGAAAATGCTAACAACTTCCGCACGTAATACAAACATATGCAAGGCTTGCAAACTTTGCAGGACTGTGTTTACCAGGGTTTGCAACATTTTGCGGCCGAATTTTGCGATTTTGCTAATTTCATTATGTTCTTTTTAGCTGTGGTATTTGATTCCCTTCTCTTTCCTTGGGTTTTAATTTGGTTTATTAACATGCAGGTTGTCCATTAGATCTTAAAACACCTTCAGATAATTTGTAATTGAGTTATTTGAGTTATAAAATTCCTGTAATTGAAATTGGTTGATTATGTTTATATTTCGTTTCTGAATTTTGTCTATTATTTTACTCATTACATTTCACTCGTTAACCATTTTAAATAATGGCTCGCACCTTGGCTCGCGTGGCTTGCACTCTGGCGCATGGCTCGCAAGGCTCGCATGGCTCGCACCCTGGCTCGCATGGCTCGCACTCTGGCTCGCACCTTGGCTCGCACAATATTGAAACTCCTTAAAGTGCCTATGACACGAAATTTCACCCCAATGGTTTATGGTTGCATTGTAAAGATCACTTAAAATGACTTAATAATTTATTTTATAGAATTTTGGTAACTTGCTTCCTTTGCAAGATATTCAACTTTGTTTCATATGCAAATATCACCGGTGTGACATCACATCACATAATGAGTTTCAGAAAGGTATAGTTTTCTTGACGAATACGTATCTAAAAAACTTAAAAATTGCCCTTGTATATGTATTAATTTCATAAATAGTCTAGGACCTGTATATGAGTTTGTATGCATTTCATTTAGCACAGGTAATCTCAA